GGGGGGGGGGGGGGGGGGGGGGGGGGGGGGGGGGGGGGGGGGGCGATAAAGAGAGATGGAAAGGGAGGTGTGTGTGTGTGTGTGTGTGTGTGTGTGTGTGTGCGCGCCTAAACAGAAGACAGTGAGCTTGAGAAGAAGAGGAAGAGCAGGGGGTGGATGTGGAGCTATATGTGGCTGTGGTGTCCTCTCCTCCTGGATGCTGCCCCCCCTCCGTGCCTCCCCCCCCCCCCCCCCCCCCCCCCCCCCGGGCCTCCCCCCCCCCCCCCTGCGCACCGGACGAGCAGCACTCAGCCGAGGAAACGGGGACGGATCGGCCCCAACAAAGAGCCTTTGAGATGGCAGCGTGTGCTCGTGCCCGGAGGGAGGAACGCATCAGGCTTTCCCGGGCAAGCGGCAGCCTGCAGAGTGCTCTCTTTTGAGATCCAGCCCTCTCCTCGTCGTTGCGCGTATGAGACGGAGCGGCGCACGTCCGCGAATGTGCGCGAGCGGCGTATCATAGCGCGTCTGAGGGTGTATGTGTAGAACCTCTTCATCCCGATCCTTCCTGGAGGAGAGAGAGGGCTCTTCTCCCCCCCCCCCCCCTTCCCCGGGACCGGGAGGTAAGGGGGACTGACCCCCCCCCCTTTCCCCTCTAACCGAGACCCCGCCCCCCCACGCCCCCCCCCCTCCCCTTCCCCTCCTCCCACCCTCCACAAGGAGACAGGGGTAAAAAGGTTGAGGCTGTGCACGCAAGAAAAAGACAAGCCTAACGTCATTGGTGAGGAGCGAGCTATGGGATGCCATCGGTAGGCATCAGCCGCGGTGGAGGAGGAAGGAGGAGGAGGAGGAGGTGGAGAGGCTGTGAGCAGAATGCAGCGCTGCCAGGTGCAGATGGAGGGGGGCAAGAGAGAAAAGGGGACGACTGAGAGGGCGGTTGGATGTGCTCAGTTCAGTGATGGGCCGCATCTTAAACGAGGAGCTTTTTTTTATTCCTTCTCACCCTTTCTCCTCCTAATCCTTTACCACCTCTGGCTCCATTTGCGTCCGTCCTCAGCTTCTATTTGAAGGGAAACAATGTCAGACTCTTTCAAAGGTTGCCCTCCTTTTTTCTTTTTTTTAAACATGAATTTGACCTTTCAGCTTTTTTGCTCTATGGACAGATGCTTCCTGTTGGGTCCTCTACAGTGTGTGTTTGTGTAGGCTGAGTTCACAGGTGAGCTTTATGGTCATACCAGCGCTCCGGGCTACGAGCTGCTGCCGCATGTTGAGGCTCCAGCAGATGGAGAGCAGGCTCAGGAGGGGAAGACTGATGTGCTCACACCATGACATATGTTCTGAGTATTTAGCATACAAAAGCCCGGCGTGAGTATGGGAGGCAACGTTTGAAACGTGAGTCCAAATGTGAGCCATTTAGAAAAACATGAGCTACAGTCAATGCTGTAAAAAGTGGGTTTGTAAAGTCTCTCAATTAGTCTCTTTATTGGATGCTAAGTGTGAAGTCCAAATCAATACAAAGCTAAGGTGTTTTAAAGTCTATAGATTTCAGTTTCAGTCCAGACCTTAAGTGTCAACAATGCTCTCATTCCCGCCGACGCCATCATCAACAAACCCTGATGTTGATTCTGTTTGCGTTGTTTAAAAGTTTGTGGCTTTTTCTCTTTGTGCACGCACAATCCCCACATTGTTAGGGATGGTCCCCTTTGAGGTAGAGTCTAAATCTATCAGAAATCCAGTAGGGATCCAAACAGAGCGTCAGTCGGTGGGGTTTTGTAAATCTCTCATGATGATGTAACTGGAAGTAAAGGCTGTGTTTACGTCTGAAGTCATTCGCTGATATTCAAGACGGTAGAGGAGGGAAAGTGTCGAGGAGGTGACAGAGAAGGTCTGTTTGGTGCATGCACGCTCACAGTCAGCGATGTGTGCACTCCAGCATCCCCCGGTATTTTTGGAGGTTGTGTCACCCTTCCCATCGTGCTTTCATGTTCTCCGAGGCTGGCAGAGAGCACAAACAGACAGGCAGTGCAGGCTCGTGCACGCGCAGTGGGACACGGGATGGGGGGGGGCGATAAAGACTGTCCTCACACACACACACACACACAAACACAGACGCACACACGCCCCGTTTCCGATTGTTTTCGTAAATGTTTGTGTCATGTTCATGTCAGAGAGAGGACAGCGTGCATTACCAGCTTAGTGTCGCTGCTGGCTATAACACGTCAGACACTAAAGATTTAAAAAAGGCTCTTAGTTCAAATTAGAACAGCATGGCATGAGTCCCCAGATGCAGAAACAGGGCCCAGTGTAGCTGACAGAGAAGGGAAGCAGAGCTGATGCAGACTGATACCATGGAGGAATACGAGGTTCAAATTCTTTTCATTGTTCTCCGGAGAGACAGGCTGAATCCATGGCTGAAAAGAGAGAAAAAAAAACATAAATCAAAGCCTTTATAAGCACACGCGTACAGTAAGGCTTGCACCATGTCCCAGTACATCAATAAATTAGACCCATGAGAGAAGAGTTGGGCTCCTGCTATTGGTCCGGCCTGATCATACGTCTCCATCAGCGCAGCGTCAAATTGTTCAAAGCACTTGTGAGAGCCAAGAGGATCTTTAATTAAACAGAGTGTTGGTCAGTGCTGCATTCCCCTACTCTCCTCAATCTGACTCTTGCTGTTAAATACATATTGTTACACTATATGGAGACGCACCTGTTTATTTATCTAGTGATGTGTCAGCATCCAAATAGCATCCCATAAAAGCCCCAGGACGCGGAAAGTGTTGCTTTTACAATCCCATTATGTAAAAGGTGTTGGGAGGGATCGGAGGCGGTGGTTTTTACTGTGCATTTATGTCCAGACTCCTCCACCGCAGGGACAAACAAAACTAGTTTCTTGTCCATTTTCTCATCGGGTAGAATGGGTGCCATTATGTCAGGAGACAGAATGATGGACTGCTCTGTGTGGATGCAACTGTCCTGTCCTCAAATCCCCTCTGCTGTGGTCTGTTTACTGCAGAGAGGCTAAAGGGGAGGAGAGCTTACATCCTCAGAGCTGTGAGGGCTACCATCAACGGAGACCGGACACATGAGTTTTAATTCTCCCCGCCGGTTTGCACACACTCGGGATTTTTGATTACGTCCTGTTGCATTCGTCATCGTTTCTTCTGATGTCACTGTAGCTGAGTGTCCCAACTCCGCTTGCCTTACTTCACTGTTAATCCTCCAGCCAATGTCGGCATAAGGCCGGCGTGCGTGCGCACACGTCTGCCCTTGAAGAAGCGACAAGCCAGATCCTTGAGCAGGACACCTGTGCGTCCTATGCTCAAACTGCGCTTTGCTGTGTCAGAAGCGAGGAAACCACAGTCAAGCGTTTTCTCAAATCAGTGAACTCACATCTATCGGGATGTGGGTCGTTCTGCATAAGCTGAAATGTTCCTCTTCGTTCATTTGCCCTCACTATGGTTCATTGGCACGCTGATGCTGATACTCTATGCCGACACTAGACCACAGTATTCATTTCCAATGCCTTTGCTTGGGCTTTCCAGTGATTCTGATCACAGAAATCCCTATTTTATTAAGAACACACTGACACAGTCTCCAGCTCCACTTCTTTGCCCTGTTTCCCCTGTATTTCTTACCTTAGTGATACATGTACAACTTGTTTTCTGTGGTTTGAGGTAAAGACATTGCTCTCTTGTTTGTCTCCGTGCTGCTCTTGCTATGGACCGCTGACCTTATAAGAGTTTGCTGTTCCCGAACTAGATTGGCGTGATACAAAAAAAAAAAGCGACTTGCTGGTTGTGGAATATCACCAAGTGAGATTTATTCATCCTCAGGAGACCAGGAATGATTGGAAAACCATTCAATAGCTCTTATTGCATAAGAGGTTTTTCGCTCACCAGAACGTATTCGGGTTGATTCCTGGCTTAGGTAAGAGCTTCAAATATGCAATCCATTTGCTATATTTTAGATTTTAAGGAAGGACTGGCCCAGCCTGGCACTGGGATCCACAGAGCCATGTCAATAGTTGGCTGCATTTCAAAACAGGTTTACTGAGCAGTTTGTTTTTAAAAAAAACATTTTTACATCAAATTTCATCTGCTGTCCATCGAGGTCCCAAGAGGTGACTTCAAAGAGAAAGCACACATAAATCATAGCTGCTGTCCCACCCAGTCTCAATCAGGGCCTGTTTCATGCCATCAAATAGCACGTTTGTTACAAGAAAAAGATGACCCTCCCAGACCTTTGTGCAGTCTCAGTTGAAAAAAGTCAAATTAAACAACATGGTCCTCATAAAGAAGCCAATAGGCAAGAGAAGATCCACAGTATGAGTTGAAAAATGGCATTTAAGAACTGTCATCCATGCAGTAAGATAATATAGATGCAACCCCCAGTGAGTCCCTATGGCCGGATTATACTTCTATATGCATTTACGATCACAAAAAGAGGATTACCTCATCTCCACTGTCTCCCACCCTCACCTCACTATTTGACATGAATCCTGCATAAAATAAACACGTGTCTTGCGCAAAAGAGGAGGGGGAGATGATGTGTGCTAAAATTAGATCACTGAAGGGCTGAACAAAATACTAATCCCACAAGCCCAGTCACCTGCATGTTGGCTACATTTCTGCATGCACGCCAGCAGAAGAAAGAAGCAGAATTTAGGGCAAACGGAAAGAAAAAAAAATCATTCGGCACTGCTCTGGAGCACTAACATTGAGCAAATCCAATATCTCTCTTATCTCCCAATCCCCTCCCACTCAGCCACAACTCCCGCTCCGGGTTATTTGAACATGAGAGGGAAGCGGGCGCGTCCTTTCTTTCTCTGTCATGTCTTCTGCGGGGAGCATATGGATTGCCAGGTTGAATTTCTGCGTAGCTCGAGAGGCCGAGCCGTTCTGCCAGGTGAAGAATCTCTATCCAGTCAGGGCTAAAGATGTTATTGGATACGCATCTGAGCCTGAATTAGGATGGGATTAAGAAACGCCCGTGGGAAGAAACAAGGTCTACTTGCATTTTTTTCTGACGCTGTCTTCGTGCTTTATCAACAGCTCATCATGGCGTAAAGAGCTATGATTATTATTCTGTTGTGTGAGATCTTGCTTCCCAGCAAAAAGAAGAAAAAAACTTTTTTATTATGTTCCTGAATAACGTTGTAGAAATCCTAATGAAGCAGGATTTCTAGAATGACCTCATCCTTCCTGGGTCTTCATATCCCTGACAGCCCTGGCAGAGTTTTGCCTCAGCACTTTGATAGATTTAAGACAAGCCACTGAGGCATAGGGTCAAGTCCCAGCAGTTTTGAGGGATGTGACTGGAAAGGGAAATTACGCCCTGCACGAGTTCAGCTCTGTGCATATGGATTATCAGATCAACTTAGAAATCAATAGGATGTTGTTATCAAGACAGTCATAGGGCCAGCTGCATGTAATTAAAGCTAGCAAATCAATAAGTGCGTCAACTTTTGAATTTATTTCGCCCTGGCATGAATAATCAAAGTATGCGTTTGTATTTCTTCTCGTCTTATTTCACAGTGGATAGTTTGTAGTTCCTGGGTCTCCAGAGTGAAAGAGCGGTTGAGAATGAGTCATGAACACTGAGAGGTTCTCTGTTGGTCTGAACTCACAAAGCCTGAAACTACAATCCAACCGTCTAAACCATTTGTGTTGGTCTGATCCTATCATAGCTAAATATGGAGAACTGTGGCATGCATTTAACTCATGAGTAAACATTGATTGATCTGGTTGTACAGGAATACATGTAAATATTTGTTCAGCCAATGCCTGTATCTGCACATTGAACAGCTATCTAAGCAGATAGCTTCTTGTGCACCAGAGGGGAAAACGATAACACTTTCTGGTTTGCCGTTTGTTTTCTCAAGCCCTTGTTATTAGAAAAAGGAGCCTCAGTTGGTGGTTGAAAGCCTATCAGTGGCTATGGAAAGGGAAACGGGTCCCCGTCTCTTGATACTTCCAGGACTGACTGTAATTTTGGCCCTGATTCCTGTCCCCTCACACCATAATGTCCCTGTCAGATAGAATTAAACTCCTCCCAAGCGCCACATTATGTACATAGGGAGAGCACAGAGTGAGACGTTTATGCAACACTTAGCATATTAGCCTTGTGACTGAATTATCCTTGGAGGGTGACACATCTCTCCAAGCTGCACCCCCCTCCCCCCCATCCGCACCACTCCACCCTAACCCCCCTTTTGTGTTTTAAGTCAGGGCTTAGCTCATGTGAGCACGGGGCCTGACCTCGTTCTACCCTGGGGCGAGGCAGCCGGGTGAGTGGCGTGGGTTAGTCACCAGTACATCTCCTAACACGCGCCGTTTATGCCGATTAGAGACATGCTGGTCTGGGAGTGGAGGTGGAGGGAGGAGAGGCTGCCAGCGTGATCGCCCACTGGGTCACAGAGGGCTGCAAAACTCATTTCCTCTGCTCCCACTATTTCACAGTGCATGATGGGAGATCGTATCAGATAAACACAGGGCACCTTGTAAGCCCGGCGAATCAGAGCAGACCTCTATTCTCCTAAGCTAAACAAGGAGTTCTACTTAAGAATAGAAGTTTGTTCATCTCAAAAGTTACATCAGCACACTCACATGTCCATACTTTCTGATTCTGGCAAGTTCGTGTAAGGGAGTTATGAAATTGTACTTTTCATCATTTTGGGTTTGAGTTATTAGCATTTAAACATTTGGAAAAGTTTCAATGGTTTGTTGCATAGACTTTAAATAGAGATGGATGTATTTATTAAAAGCAGCAGTCAAAGGGTGGTGTTACAGTTGCTGATACCATCTCATACAGTGTTTACTATAAATAGTTGGCAGTCAAGCACAATGTGGGGCTCCTGTTCCTTAGAGGTTATTTAGTTGCTCTAACTTAACATTCAGTGCAGAAGTGAAAAAAGGGCGAAAATATTATGTAATACCATAAACTGTTTGGTGTAGTGCTTAATACTTGTACACCAATACAATATATATTACTATAATTCCCTGAAAGTTCTTACTATTCTTTAAAAAGTAACACCTTTAAGTAATATGTATGATAAGATTCTAAGATGTTGTGCAAATGGCAAAGAACACGACTTCCTCTTCAGCATGGAAGTAATGATTCCCATGAAACAAGAAAAAAATTAGTCCAGTGCTTTGTCTCTGTTTTCATATAGTTAACTTCAAATCTTTACTAATGATTTGGTCTAAAAACACAATTAATGGATTGGTAGATCAGCTCCATTTTCACTGGGACTAAGTGAGTCGCACAATTTGCAAACAAACAAAATCGAACCAAAATTCCTGACTGAAATGTTGTCGTACGAGTTGTTACAATGAAACAAAATTTGCGGCTTATTTAAAGCAAGCGTGTAATTTAGCTGTTAGAAAAAAAAACTTCAACGCTAGTTGGTAGAGAACGCTTTTGAGTTTAAGTCTGCAGGATCATCAATTGTGAATGAAAATTAAGAAGCTTGAAAGATTCATTACACGACCATCCGTGCACTTGAATCACCTTGGCTGAATTCTGACATTGAAATCTAAGCTAGCCTAAGTATATATTGAAATTGCTTTTCGAATATGTGCGGCTTAAAGGATAGGACAAAGTTAAGAGTCGTTACTATACAAAATAAGCATGATTCATAATCTGGGAACCATAGCTGTCAGTAGTTAATTTAATGCAAATCCACCCGGTAGTTATGGAGAGGTTTTCAGTCTGTGACAGAAGTAGAGACGACTGGCTGGCTGTGACAGCCAGACGGGTGGTTTGCCAGGACGTCCTCCACGCTGCGAGCCGCATAAAACAGTATTAATCATGAGACTAAAGTGTAAGAGATTATCTTCCCGTACAGCTGTGCAGCGAAGGAAATGAGATGTAATCTATTTAATTATTTCGCACTACTTGAATGGAAAGTAAAGCTGAACATACAGTAAACCTGAGTTTGTGGCTCGGCAAATGCATCCAGAGATTAAGTGGTTGCCCTCCCTGCAATCAAGGGCGCACAAGCTACTAATTAGAATAGGATATGAAAGGCTTATAGAGGAGTTATGAAGGATGGCCTGCCATGGTATATTTGTGTTTGTGTTAGCGTGCACGCATGACCATGTGCTTGTGCTGTGCTAATGCACTGAAAGCCTGTGGGCGCTGGCCAGCCTGGCCGCATGCTCATCTGTAAAAGGGCACAGAGAATGAATAAGCCTTAATTGACCAGATATCCTTCATTAAACATGTGCTTACAAATCCATCCGCTCTCCTTGGAGCTGTTGTCACTGGAGCAAGTGCGTGATAGCCAGCAAGCAGCAACTGGGATGTGGGACATCCACATAGCAGGCATGGACCAGCTTTTGGATCAGCTATTTGAATACGTTTTCCCACCTGGAATCGTCTGACTTTATTTGAATACACCTGGTGAGAGGGGAGAAGGAGAGATAAAGGGAGCAGTTAGTGAGAAGCAGCGTGTATATAACCCTATAATACCATATTTATCATATTTCACACATGCTGTTTCTGACATTTTTTGCATCTGAGACCTATTGCATCATTTTATGGTAAAAATATTGATCAAAACCCTGTCTTACACAGGCAGATATACCTGAATCATTGGGCAGAAGGCTGTGCAATAATAATTAAGACTTAATGCGTGGTAATAAATTCTAAATATTTGTTTATAGGGCCAAATAAAGAATTCTGACTAAAAAAATACAAACTTCTCTCTATATGTTTTCTTTAAAGGGTTTATTACTGTGGCTTTAAAGGATTAATCACTGTGGCATAATAGATTTGCCTATATTTAACTGTACAGTTATTCAGTCTGTTGCTTTATATACTGCTTCTCTCCACAGGCACATTGTGAGGCAGGCAGGCTGTCGTCCTTCTGCAACTGAGGATGTTTCGCAAGAAGAAAAAGAAGAGGCCTGAGATATCAGCGCCAAAGAACTTTGAGCACCGTGTCCACACGTCATTTGATGCCAAACGCGGCTGCTTTGTGGGCCTGCCGACCCAATGGCAAAGCCTCATAGAAAACCTGCGAAGGCCCAAACCCATGGTGGACCCATCCAGGATCACAGAGGTGGAGCTGAGGCCAAAGAAGGTAGGCCACACCTTCCGGTTCTCTGATATTTCTCTGGGCTTGCTTTTACCTGACCTGACTGCTAATGAATTGCATAAAATTAGATCGTTATCAAGCAATCAGCAGCATTACTAGAACAGGAAGAGCATGCTATTTTTTGCAACTTTATGCTAGTAATGGAGTCAATGCAGACATATTTTTTCCTCTGCAGTGGGATTCTGCTTTCTCAGAAAATGCTGTAATCCTCTGATGACAACGTGAAATCACTACTCCCCTCCCCATCTCTTTGCTTTCTTATCTATCACCGGGATGGGCTAATGACCCTGCTGTGTAAACTGACTGTACAATGTCGAATCCTCACGGGGGCCGAGAGATTTATTACTGCATGCGGGCAATTAATAACAGTACATGGTGCTTCCCACCGATGTCATACAGAAAGGATAAAAAGTGCAGGTACAGCAAAGGAAATGCCTGTGAGTGATGCAGCCTGCAAATCTCAGGATTTTAACGCTTGGCGAAACATACTGTCGATGCTTTTTATGGCCCTCCAGTAAAAGAAAGAGCTCCATGATGTGACTGCGATTAGTGCGATGCAACATGAGAACCACAGCGTCAGCACTTAGGGCTGAGCCACAGTTTTAACTGCCTCATCAATATACATGACCCCTTGCAATGAAGACAGCCTCAAACAACCAAACACCAAACGTTCAGCAAACCTTAGATTACATCTATGATATTAGCAGTGAAGTAAAGTGGCTGTCAGTTTGAATTATTGGCTATAAGGCGACATCTCACCGGGGCCATTATCACCTACTACCGTTCCTCTCAGAGAGGTGCTACAGTGGGTGAGATGTCATCTGACCTGCACCTCATGTGCAGCTGGAATGGCTCTGAGCCAGAGAAACACAAGAGGCCGTGGACTGACTGTGAACTGAACACGACACTATCCTGAAACTGACTAATAAGCTCACCCCTCCTGCAAAGCATTTCATGTTTGATCGTTTTATGTCAGGGCAAGTTTATTCCCTTTCAATGACTGACAGCTATTCATACTCGAAACAGCACAAGATGTTAATGTGATATTCTATGTCTTTGCATGGTATATTCGTCAGGGTCTTGTCAAAATCAACCATGGGGGAACTTAATTAAAGTAACTGTCTTTGAAGAATGACAACGATGGCCTTTACACATTCTCAGATCTAAATTTAGCTTCCCTCTAAGCAATGATTATGTCACTCTTATTGTCCTTCGCAGTCCAAAATCTCTATAATGTAATCATGACATTCAGACTGGAATAAAGATAAACGCCTCTCCCGTTACAGACCATTGTGCGCGGGAGCATGATTGGTCATGGAGACTACATCGCAGCCATGATCAACGACATGAACCGGCTTTCTGTGACCAGCTCCAACTCGCTGCGGAAGAGCAGCCCCTCAGCACGGAAGAGGGCCCAGTCTCTGGGAAGGCTGGGGGAGGTGAACGAGGGAGACACCTACCAGTACGAGGGCCTGACCCAGGATGACGATGACGACGATGAAGATGGAGCTGAGCTGTGGAGAGAAAGGGCTCGGAACATCCACAGCGAGACCAACACCCCTTACCTGGGCATGAAGAAGAGCATCACGCTGCAGCCCAATGGGATCCTGCCGAAGGCGAAGTCCACCTACGAAGTGGGTGTCAGCCCCCTGGAGGGACCTTCACAGCACCTGCAACAGCACCAGAACATCCCGATGCCAAGTCATGGGGCCTATATGAGTGCAGATGTAGGAAGTCCTCAGGAGCGAGTGATATGGAAACGAGATTTCCAGCTGCCCAGAGGAATGCCACCAAACCAGAGACCCGTAGCTTGTTTCTATAGCCCTGCTATGACCGTGCAGCAGCTCCATGGAGATCAGGGAACACTCACCACCGAGCTCCGCCCCAATCCACCGATGTACATGCACCCACAGAACAGCCCTGGGAGGCCCTTCTCCTCCTATGACCTAAAAGTAAGCATATCTTTGCCGTGATGGCATGCCAGTGATGAATTATTCATGGAACACACAACATATGCATATTTCTTTAATGGTTCGCATGCCGTTTTCTTGGTGCTCAGCATATTTTTCATGAGCTCAAAAATAATTGAATTAAATCATTTTCCTTCACGATTTATTCAGGGATCTTTTAAACGCTTACATTGTGAGCTACCATATTAACTGGCTCTAAACCAAAGCTGATTAAAGGTATGAGTTTGAGTATTTTTATTTGAATCCAGTGTTAAGAAATTAAATGTGGGCTTTAAGTACGTTTGAGGTCGTAAATGTTGAAAAATGGTGCGTTTGCCAAAATCTTTTTTGGAGGCCTGAGGCCATATAGCAGCTTCTTAACATGGGTCATATCAAGTGCAGTGGATCCAGAGTGAAAGTGAAGGACTTGATTTATATTCACTCTTAAAGTGGGCTGTGAACCCCAGGCAGGGAGCCAGCCCCCTGTTTCAGCCTTTTCTCTTCTGTCACCATGCAGGCGGAGTCCACAGTGAGGTACCACTCCAGTTTTCTGCCCACCGGCACCAGCAGTCCACTCGTGGGAGCCATTAGACCTCAACGGACTGTGCGCTCCTCGGCTAGCTACACTCTAGGCCTGTCCCCTAACATGGGACTGAGACCCAGTGGACCTGACCCCTTCCTCAGACACTCTGGATGCCCCAACCCTCCTTACCCCCGTCAGGACAGCCCCTCCCAACCTCGACCTTCCCCTACAGGCTCATTGGCCACCAGTCCCCCAGGCACCTGCTCCCCTGCCTTTAGACCCCCGCAGCATCCCTCACCGAGACCACCTCCCGACCCACCTAAGGTGACCCATGAACAGTTCAAGGCAGCCCTTCAGATGGTGGTAGACAAGGGCGACCCGCGAACTTACCTGGAGAACTTTGTGAAGATCGGGGAGGGTTCAACAGGAGTGGTGTGTATTGCAACCGAAAAGCACACTGGGAGGCAGGTGGCGGTAAAGATGATGGACCTGCGACGGCAGCAGAGGAGAGAACTGCTCTTTAACGAGGTACAAAAATGGTCCAACGCAAGCTTCTCAAATTTGGCCCCATGCAATTCACAGCGACATGTTATTTTGTGCAAAGAGCAACAAGCTGCCTCTCAGTCCTCTGTAGTTTGGTTCCAAAGTTCAAAACCTTCTTTTTGATAGAGGTTAATATGTTTGAACTGAAGCAGAATCCAGCAGACCTGACACAGAGGGCTTTGAATTGTTCGATCTATCGTTCACTGAAGTCTTATCACAGATGGCTTCCATGACGGTTGACTGACTCATTTTTAAGGAATAGAAATAGAATAAAAGGCTTGAATATGCTCAATGACTCAAGAACTGGATTGAAAATCTGCTATTCAGACCTTAAGGTTCGATGACCTCCCCAGACCTCAGTATGATTGAAGCAGTGAGGAATCACTGAGACAGAAACCAGAGCAAAAGGAAGCCAACTTCCAAAAAAGAGGTTTGAGATGTCCTTAAAGAAACCTGGAGAACTATTTCTGAAAATAACTAAAGGAAATGACTAAAAGGTTGGTCTGAAAGGGTTGAGGCCAGCAAATGTTGACTTTAAGATAAAATAGTTGTCTCCTGGCAGAACATAAAGTAATGAGGGGGCGCTCACCACATTTGTACAGAAGTGTATGTACAGGCTATTTGTTATTTAGCTTTGAACTCCTTGGCATTTGGCAGTGGTGGTGTCCAAGATGTCCAGGTCAAACGTTGACTTGTGTGATTTTCATGCAGGTGGTCATCATGAGGGACTATCAGCACAGGAACGTGGTGGAGATGTTCAAGTCTGCTCTGGTGGAGGAAGAGCTGTGGGTGATCATGGAATACCTGCAGGGTGGAGCACTGACCAACATTGTGTCTGAGACCAGGTAACAGCAGGAGAATGACAGAGACTTAGCCACTTTTGAGAGAAAAAAGTTTTCACTGAGTGCATTTTGTCCAGATGTCCTATCCCTCTTTAATAACCGAATCAGCCACAAGAGGGTAGTGTAGTATCGACTGGAGAGGCGGCAGTTTTCTTCTGAGCAGCGTATCGACCGTCGTTCAGTCGTCTGCACTCAACCTCTGCTGCTTTTCTCTGGGGACAAATAATGACTCCACGACACAGGATGATTGAATTTGCACATGTTTGCATACAACGTGGAATGTCAATTTGGACTGGAAATTTGATTTCTCCATGTTTTCATGTCGTCGAACATTAATCAGAAATAAGAAAACACACTGACCAGCAGCAGAGAGCTTTATTTGATGGAGTGCACTTGTTGTTATCCGGTTGGCTCAGTTTCAAAAGGATGACCTCTGGGTTAGACTGTTTGTCTCAGAGGGAGGAAAATGATAATAATATCAATGAGATGACATGTAAAATGAGTACAGAGGTATTGTATTGAGGGAACGATTAGAGTTCAGTGGGGGTTTTATTTATATTTTTATCCGTCTGTACTCAAATATCAAATTATATTTTGATCAAAGTATATCTGAAGTAATGGAACTGTTCAAATTAATGCAGCTTTTTTTAAATGCTCCCAGACAAGTGTTTAATTTATGATGAAAACCACACATGGAGGAGTACATATACAGTTTGATATAATAATTCAACTTGCACTATTTTTACTTTGTATTTGGCACTTGCCTTTTCTTGCTGACTAATTTTTTTTCCTATTGTCTCTAGTACGCTAACGGTGCATCAAAGTCCCATTACCGCTGTGGAGAAATGAGCGTGTTGTTTTGTCACTGCTGTGTGGGAGTCGTTGTTCTGAACCTTGCACTCTTCCTCACTGCCTTTAATGGGTGGTGATTCACAAATTTCAGCTTTCTGTTCTGTTGCAACTTGTAATGAAAATGTGAGAAATGTTCATGTGAAGTTAGTTCATTCATGTGTGAAATTGTGTGTGTGTGTGTTTCCTGCAGGCTGAGTGAGGAGCAGATTGCCACAGTGTGCGAAGCTGTTCTGCAAGCCCTGGCCTATCTCCATTCACAGGGAGTCATTCACAGAGACATAAAGAGTGACTCAATACTGCTCACGTTAGATGGAAGGGTATTGAATGTTGTTTTACCCCACCCTTTCTTTTTTTTCCTTTTTAGGTGTTTTGTTGTTAAATGAGTACTTTTTCGTTTTTCCTGTAGGTTAAGCTTTCAGATTTTGGCTTCTGTGCTCAGATCAGTAAGGACATCCCTAAGAGGAAGTCCCTTGTGGGGACACCTTATTGGATGGCTCCTGAGGTCATCTCTAAATCGCCATATGGCACCGAGGTGAGGAGCCAGAGTGAACATTCAAATAGAGTAATGCTGTCATTTGTCAGGTTTAGAAAAGCCAATACTGCAAACCTCTGTAAAAGGACATAGCTGACAAATCCTTTCCTTCGGTGCCAGGTTGATGTGTGGTCAATGGGAATCATGGTGGTAGAAATGGTTGACGGAGAGCCCCCGTACTTCAGTGAAACGCCTGTAGCAGCAATGAAGAGGCTGAGAGATGAACCGGCTCCGACTGTTAGGAGTGTCAGCCAGGTAAAAGGACAGAAAAACACACTGAAACGCATCTGCTCTGTGCCTGTTGACCGGCCAATCAGCTTTTTTTACGATGTTGGGACAAAATGCCACTGCATGCAGTTAAATTTTTCCAAGTTAAAATGTTTCAATTGTGCTCTGTGAACCAGATCTCCCCAGTTCTAAAAGACTTCCTGGACCGCATGCTGACCCGGGACCCCCTGGAGCGGGCCAGTGCCACTGACCTGCTGGAGCACCCCTTCCTGCTGCAGAGCGGTTCACCTCAGTGCCTGGTCCCGCTGGTGGAGCAGTACCGCAAGCGCATGTCCCGCTGCTGACCCCACGGGGCGCACCGCCCCCCCAACACACTTCAGCCTGACCCGCACAGGTCTCGGAAGAGGAATAGTACCGGATTCCAGCTCTTCTCGCACCCAAGCTGATGGGCCGTCAGCTCCGGAGAGGCAGACCCAGACCCAGACCCAGACAGCATTTGGCCGTCAACGCGATGGTGGCAAGTTCGGCTGAGAGTCACAGCATGGTCTCGGGCATGTGATAAGCACTTTAGGAGTGAGTTAAAGGCAGCATGCAAGTCCTCACCTCTCTATTCACTTTGATCGGAAAAAATAATTGGCTTGTAACATTCGATGCAATCCAACACAACCCGACGTGGTGCATAACACGCTGATAGCAAGCATCAACATACCACCTAATAATCTGTACCAAACACGTGTTGCTCTAAAAATCTTAGTACTGTTGTTTGTGGGCATTTCTGCTTACAGTGTGAAGCTTATGGGGCTGCTATCAGGCTCCAAATAAAGTAGCTCATTGTGGCAGGATGAAGTTGACCTTGCACACTCACACACTGCTGTGGAAAGTGGACATTGAGCCGGTCAACACACACCCTTGCATGGCCAAATGGAGGCACACCTGGCCTGATGTGAATGCTTGAATATGTACCAAACTGAGATTTTAGAGACAATTCTCCTTTATTAGCATTACAAATGGGTAGATAAAAGCCCAGCTGCTACTATTGGGCAACTGGAAGAAAAAAAAAAACATCACCAGGACAATATTTGTTGTTTTTCTTTTGTATTTATTCTTTATTTCCAGAAGGTGTTGTGGGTTGTTTATATGATGTGAATTTGCAAATAAGGTTTCATAATTAAGTATGGATTTAAGAAATAAGCAGTTAAATTTATAATGTAAATAAAAATACTGAGTATTAGATCCTTATAACTGCTGATTCACTGCGATTAATCTTCTGAAAAGGGTTCAAATGTTTATTTACTGAAATGTGAGCATATTAGTGCGTGTGTATGTCTGTGCGAGGGCATGGTCGTGTGTTAGATACAACCCTCTTTGTATTGTGGCAGAAGTTAAAGGAGAAAAAAACACCAGAATGTGTGTGTAGCTCCAGAGGACGATGTGTGTGACTGTATTTCCATTTGTTTGCTTAGATAAAGCACACAGGCCTGGCATGTGATGCTGCAGGACGCAAACCTGCTGAGAAACACTTTGCACATAGTCTTTGTATTCTGACATGGATACATGTGGACGTGTTTATTGTATTTCTATATCTGTGTAGATCATTCAGAGGATTACAAAAGAGGATTACACGGTTTAATTTTGTATAAATCAATAAATGATACATTCTGACCCTAAAATTATTTAATCCTTTTTACCTGCTTATGAACACACACACACACAAACAAGTGAATATAATAGTATTTTATTTTAATTGTCATATTTTCAGCATGAATGCAGATGAACAACTTTAAGCAAAATACATTTTCTCTGAAAAACACAAAGCACTATTAAATACCTTTAATTTCATATGATATAAATATGTGAAAAATTAAGTTTCAGCAGCTCACAAATTGATATAATATCATATATAATGCTGAACACATGATAGCAAAATTCTGACTTTATGCAAATTAGCGAATAGCATAAAAATGTTCTTTTTGATAGATATTTTCAATTCAACAAAAGCAAAGAAAGAAACTTTCACACAGTTTAGAAGCGAGATTGCAAAGCGGCTAATCTGGATTGTCAAAATTCCAAGTTGAATAGAAACGACAAACTCAGCTTGCAGACAGTTTTGCTGCTGCACATCGTCCTTCATCTAATCGAGGGTGGACTGAGACGAGTAGCTCTCGAACTCACACTTCACAGCACTGATGCTGTCGACGCTCTGCTGACTGTTGACCTGCTGGTGTGTGTGTGAGAGGGGGAAGGTCTCTGAGCGGGACATCCGACCTCTTCCATTGGACGAGCCGGACGAACAGTCTATCACCATCCTCATGAACTCCGGGGCGGTGAATCGACGCAGCAGTCGGGTCCCCAGGCCCATGAACCCGGGCGCGCGGCCGGGGATCTTTTCTGCCTCCGCCTCTTCCCGGGGAAAAAGTACTTTGCCGTGTCTTGAACTTGAGCCCAGGCTTCCTCTCTTGTGCTGCTCCCTTCTGCCTGATGAAGCCGCGTCGCCGGTCTCCTCACTGGGTGATCTGACGTTCTCCTGGAGGACTTTCACAGGCTGACCCTTGCTGGTTAAAACAGGCTTAAGAGCTGAGATCATTTTGTTGCCATTGTTTGTCAGACCCCGGGTGCTCCCTTGGCATTCTATCTTGTCTATCAGGCATCTCTCGTCCTGTAGCGAAGCTCTCTTTAATTTGCTGGCTGGAAGGCTCATGTCGCGCACATCGCCCTGGTAGGACTGCTTTCGGCTGCTCAGGAGGTCCAGGTTAAAAGACTTTGCCTTCCCCCAGAGAGGGAAGCTCTCCGGAGTTTGCACTGGGAGCCTGGCGTCTTGGCTGACATCCTTCTGGCTTGGATCGGAAAGAGAGTTCAGGATTTTGGCTCCCCTCGGCTCTCGAAGCTGGCAGTTTTGCAGTTGTTTGGCAGTGAAGAGGACGCTGTGATCCCCTTCAGTCTGGGCTTTCTCCAGCTGTGGAGGCAGAGCCCAGCTCTGGCCATGGCTGTCCTCTTGAGACTGACTCCTGGGGCATCTGTAATGGTTCCACAGCCCGTTGTTGTCTCCGATTTTCATCTGTCTCTGGAATATGCCTGGCAGTTGGACTTCATTAGTCAGGTGCTTGGAGAACCTGTCCAGAACGTGCCTGGGGAGCCGGCCGGGCAGGCTGCCCTCACCGTCAACACCCGCATCCACAGGTGGATCCTCCTTACCCACCTTCCTACACGGGAAGTTCAAAATCTGCACGCACTGGTTGTGTCCGAAGAAGTTGGCCACCTCAATGGCCGAGTGACCGGCGCTGTTGGTCCTGTCCAATCTCAGCCCCAGTCTTTTGAAAGCCCGGACCAGGAACTCCAGAACCTGACTGTGTCCAGAGAAGGCGGCGTACATGAGAGCACTGTTACCCCAGGAATCCGAGACTTCGGGGTCAGCGTTGAACTGCACGAGGAGTTTGACCACGTCCAGGTGACCCATCTCGCAGGCGTGGCTCAGGGCTGTGCGGCCGTCCTCGTCCTGACAGTTGACATTAGCCCCTTTCTCCAGCAGCAGCCGGGTGAACTTGGTCCTGGTCCCAACTTCTTGCAGGCAGACGGCGTACATGAGCGGGGTGCGGCTGTTCTCGGTCTTGGAGTTGATGATGCGCCCGTCCAGGGCATCCAGGATGAAGCGTGCCAGGTGGACTTTACCGCCGTGCATGGCGTCCAGGAAGGTCTTGGTGCCAGAGCCCTGGCGCAGATCTTTGGGCCGCATCATTCTCGGACACCTACTTGTTGAGCCGAGTCGACAAACAGGGAGAGCAAGTGTGTAGCAAGTATCTGTGACCGAGTGCTTTTACCTCAGAGTAAGACTCAGAGAGGAGCTGCCAGTGTTTTTATACCTCCCTCTCCACATGCCCTCCCCACGTTGCCAAGGAAACAAACGTCTGAGGACTATTATGCAGTGGCAGCATCCATTCAGGCCGAGCACTCTCGCCTGGAGAGAAATATATGCTATTTCGACAGAATAATTACTCAAAGGGAAAAACATGGACTGTGTTTTCTTGTTAGATCTGTCAGAGTAACTTAACTTGAACACTTTTGCTCTTTTTTTTTGAGAAAATGGATCCAGTTACCATTTTGTTGCAATCAATAGAGCTGTAAACAAACAGGACAATCCAAAAATTTAGCGAAATAAAAGAAAAGCACATTTTGTTGTGTTTTTATCCTCATAAAAACATTGTTAATAGGTTTGGGGTAAGTTTAATGTGAACAAGAAGGCTGTAAAAATGTTACAGAGTGGAATGAATGAGAAGAAAACAGAGGTCAGCTCATGTGGTGGAGCATTCTGTCCCTTTTAAGGACGGATCAGCAAAAAAGAAAGACCTGTGCTTTCATGCGGTGAACAGCATCAGTGACTTTTAGATGTAAGAATGATATTCATTCTAAAAGGTGATGCCAGTGTGAACTACTTCCCTGAATACAATCAGTAACTGTGAAAGTATTTGTCTGTTCTCCAGAAAAGAAAGCAGCAGGTAGCGCTTCTGTCGATGCCTCTTTTTGCTAATTAAATGATAAAGTCAGCCCTTGATATCTCTTATTTGCTCATGGCCTTCACTTGCAGCACAAGTGACAGAGACCGGCATTTCATTTTAATTGCTAATATGAGTCTCAGCGGGACCTGCGCTGTGCTCAACTGCTGAGGTGAGAGATACATTACCTGGATTCACCCCTTTACCATCCAGCTTCATCAGACCCTCAGCGTGTCATTTATGTGGCACTGGGTACATGTGCTAATCTGAAGATGGCTGAGCTTTGTCAACAGATGCTTCCTCTTGGGTGTCTTCAGCTATTCTGTCAATAGTATGTCATATGTTTACTTCTTTTTTTTTTACAAGGTCATTTTAGGCCAAAGCTTAAATGATTCAAAGTCTGGTGTTGCTAAAGATGTAAGATCCACATTTGTTCCATTTACTGATGTGTTCAACCAAAAGCCGCTGCTGGCCATTTTAACAAGGAGTTAACCAAAATCCCTTCATATACGTTATATTTTAGGTCTGATGAATACAAAAGTAATCTTAAGACAAAAAAATAGCCCTCCTTAAAAAAAAAAGGGTCAATTACTTCACACAAGGACTGAAGAAAAATCAGGTAACACTAAAAAACAGCATGAACAAAATCACAGCAATCAGTGGATGTAATTGTTCAATTTACGGTCTAACTTGGGTTGTCATTCAATCTCTGAAAAAAGACAAAAACAGGAAATCCCTCCACAGTAGATCCCGATATTAAGATTTTGAGAATTTACAGGAAGTGACTTGTGCATTATACAATAAGGGCAAATTGTTTAGACCCTCATCACTTAGACAGAACTGCAGTTATTTTGGGTGATCAAAAGAGTTTTCAACAATGGCAAAAAAACCTAATTGATTGAATAGTGACAGAAACTGCAGCGTGCTGCCACAGAAACCCAGCTCTGGGAAACAGCCGGGCAAATGTCTCAGCCCTGAGTTTCTGAAAGTGTGAAGAACACTGAGTAATGTGCAGGAAACCCCCCTTTCTGCTCATCAGCACAAAGAATTATTCTTTCAGGAATGGAGATGGATATTGAACAAATGCTGTGCTAAAATGAGACCGATACAAATGCGTTTCGACCAGATGATGTGATGTTTATTTGGCGTGCATCTGGCCACAGCGAGCGCACGGAGCCAGCTCTGAACCACGGAGGTGTGATGACATGCGGCTGCATGAGTGAAGGAGGTGTTGGGGAGTGGGGAGATGACATTTGGGGATGGCATCCTGAGTGCCTCCATCCACCAAATGAAGAGTTGATGGCTGTCAGTCAAAATGTGAGACTGAAATTTGTTCCTATGAATTCTGTAATATTAACAATTAGGCACTGTTAAATGTTTTTATGCTTTAGGTAATGTAAAAAAAAAAGAAAAGCTGTGCAAGTAAAGTAAGATACTGTTTAAAAACTTTGAAGCTGTTGCCAAGCAAAGATATCTATTCTTGCTTTACTTCTGAATTAAAGGCGATCCGTTTGTCTGGCATAAATCTGCAGATGTTCACTGATGATATGGTCTTTATGGTGTACTACCAGAACATGAGGGAAAAAAAATTAATCATGCTATCATTGCTCATTGGCAAAAAAATATAGTGTTCATCTTTTTAGTATTCACTGAAATGAGGAATCTTCATTATAGGCATGCAAGTGTTGCATTGAGTGTCGATTGTATCAAATTGCTGATAATTACCACAGATAAGCCTGAAAGGCTACCCACTCTAAATGTAATCAACATATATTATGACATAATTTCAATAGCAGTTGGTTGGTAGTCATGACATAATCTTCTTTCTGCCTCCCACACATAGGGCTTCATTTGAATCTTTCTCAGTTTTGTTTTTTGTTTTTTTGTCGTACAGAAGCAGAAGATGCCACCACAACAGACAAAACACAGAAACTCTTTTGTTCAACAATATAAATAATAAGAGAAAAAAAATGTTTTTCAAGCATGAAGTGCTTCATGGTGGCATCTGAGAACTAAAGCCTGTGAAATCTTGAGGGAACATTTTGTTCACTGCATCGGTTTTGCAGATGTTTGGTCTGTTGTGATGTTGATCTCTGCCACAGTGACCAAATGTAATGTCACATGCAACATAACAATCATCAGCTTTGGTCCAAGTAGTCCAAAAAGTGCAATGGTGATACTGAAGACATCAATTTCCTACTACCCCCATGTCCATGTAAAGCGAACCCCTGTTTATCAACCTGTGGACAGACGAGTGAAAAGGCAACTCCCAAACACATCTAATCTGTGATGAAGAGTAAATTACCTCAAATGCAAGACAGGATCTAAATCCTACTTTAAAATTCCGTCACATCTTCTGCTAAATGTAAATTACAGCCTAAGACCTACTTTAATCAAGAAGTGTGTCTTCATGTGAGGGAGAGTGAACGACTGATTTGATTTTTTAACTGCTTTTGCACTGACATGACCAAACACAACAACACGCACGACTTTTAACTCTGACATTTTGCAATGATGCAAGCGTTTTTTTTAAGTGAATTATTATTTTAAAAAAATATGCAATCACAGAAATTTGACCCTGAATCCAGTGACTACATCAACTTTGGATTTATGGGAGTGTCAAGGTTAAAATACTATTCTTCTTGAACAAAGCGGTGGAATATGAGGGTCTCCTTTCAACAGATTTGACCTAATAAGCTTCAATTGCTGAAAAATAAATGAATTTTCACATCATGGTGAATTTGTACTGAACGTTTAACTGTCAATTTTACACTCAAAATGTTCCATTTTAAAAACTTTACCCTTTGCAAAGGGTTTTCTGTTAATACAGTTCAGTTCAAACATTGTAGATGTTTTATTAATGATGGTCAACGGCAATGCAGACCACTGCATGACTTAAAACCCGTGTCATCATCCAGTCGCTGATTGTGAAACTAAGCAGAAATGGATAAAATGTGAATGAAATAATCAGAATCTAAATGAATTGGTACCATGAGACTCGCTAATTGGACAGATGTATGCAATAAAGCAGAGATGTCATGGTAAATATCTGATCTCCCATTCATTGCGGTCTTGGCTCAGCCAGTTCCCATTTTGAATCCCTGATTAGAAATTAAATCTAGTGTCAAGTTAAGGTGTTATCCACAGTCGTAAATGTCTTAATTAGCCAACAGGGAGAATGTAGGCCCAGTGCTGCAGAATCAACAAAGGATTCACACACAGACAAAAGAACACGTGGACGCGGAGGCTGAATGTTCACCACTGCCACTTAGCAACTAAGACAGGGGACTAAATAAGTGCAAAAGCACAGGCTAAAAAAAAATGAGTTCAACAGGGAGCAAAGTTGACATTAATGGTGGCTAAAATTGTTTTCTTACCGGTGACTCACATGCCCATTCTCCAAGGGGCTATTTTCTCCTCTGCTTTCTAATTAAGCACACCTGATAATGATGTGGTTTAAGCCATCACCTGCTTTGCACTGTGACAAACAGGCTGCAACCAGTGGCCATTCCTTTTTCCACTCGCTGCACCCATTTGTACGGAGGAAAATATTGCAAGCTGCAACACAATCACAGTAAACAAGTTTAGTTTGACCTGGAAGGATGTGACTTAACTTGAACATATTGTTATTATCGGAGCCTGTTCGAAACAGTTTTTTTTTTTTTCTTTGTCCTCACAGTTATGTAACATTTTACCAGAGCTTTTTTGGGGGCAACATCTTCCGCCAGCCCAGAAGCACTAAAATGGTGCATCCGTTTTCAACCTGGGCAATCATGAGTCTGTGTGTGCGCTCGGTATCTCTAATGCTCTTTTGATTTGATACACGGACACCGCAGTCTTTGGCTGAATTGAGATTTGACACGCTCTCTGTTCCAGGAAAGAGGAAGCAGCTGGCCTGCTGTCACTGTGTAACCATGGTGTGTGTATCATCCCTTAGGTTGAGGCGAGGTCACCATAGCAGAAAGCAAATGTCAAGTGCAATAACAAAAACACTGAAATGAACTTCAAACCTTATTGAGAGTCGTTCTTGTTATTAAATTTAAGTGGTTATTTGCGACCATTGTAAGCATTTGCATTGTTATTCCTAAGACGAGGTCCATGAGAGCCCGAAAGAGGTGGATGAAAGAGGACAATTGCACTGAGTTACAGGGTTGCAGCTGAAGAGTCTGACAAGGGGAAATTAAGAGGGCCACAGCTATGTTATCGCCCATGAGGCGGGCCGTTACAGTCTTTGTATCCTACGGTC